GCCAGTCACACACACCCATATTTATAACAGTACAGTCTGCCAGGCACGTTATGGCTGTGTTGATAGTCATGTATCAGATTTTCCCCTTTCATGCTATTGCATCAGTACCTCTATTGATATTTTTTATGTATTTGTTGTGTGTTCGTTCATTCGATTACAGAAGAATCAGGTTGTTAAAAGTGCAAACTTGCTTTCCTTAGTGAAGTCAGAGATGCAGTGCTGGGCAAAAGTGAAGCGGGCCGTGCAAGACGGATTGAGACTGACACCACAAATTCACTCTCTCCCCGATACACTGAGTTTGTCTCTCACACGTTTAGTGCTGTTTTAATTCAATTATGATATGTGAATGATAAGTGGTGTGTTGCGAGGTGCTGAGCGTGTGGTGGAGATGAATGGATACTGGATGTTTATTTAGACATTATATCGAAAGAAAGAGACTAAAAGGATTTTTAAAACAAATGTTGGGTTTCTCTTCACAGGGCTGATTTTAAACTCATTTTATGTGTATGTCTGTGCAACCATGTGTTTGTAGGAGCTTTTAGGGAAAAGACTGAGAAAGACTGAGTGTGTGCGTATATGTAGCCTAGGTTACAACCCTGAAATATTAATGCAGCCTTCTGCGTCTACCTCCAAAGACCTTCCACTCTCATCCATCGAGCATGTGTGCATGCATTTAAATGGGTTTGGCTCTGATTCATATAGCCTTTAAATACTGATGCATCATAAAAAGTAAGAGAAACAAACACACACACACACACTCTAAAATCTCCATGTTCTTTATGACTTACCAAACCACCCAGTTCTCAAACATACAGTGGCAATAACAGTCAATAAGAAAAAAATATAATATATATTTATATTTACTTTTTGATATATGTTGTATGTGTTTTGATGTTTTTGTTTGTTGGTGAGTTGACTTTGAGCTGTTATATTTTATATATAGAGAGCTCAATATATATATTGAGATATTTTCATAGCACTAGGGCTGGGCGATATGTCAAAAATATCTAATCGATAATCGCCTTAAAAATATCGCGTTATCTGATAATATCGTCTACGTAAGCCCCACCTCCACCACGCCCCGCCCTCGCCGAGACAACATTGCCGACATGCACCATAAAAACACACCATGTTCAGTTTGGTATTAATTATTGCCACATTAAAGTCTGGTTTTACTTTTCTTAGTTTGTGCTTAAACTAACAGAAAACATTAGCATTGCTGTTATGTTGGTGTTGCTAATAATTTCCACTCTGTTCTTATCAAATTTGTGTTTGAAATGAATTTTGTTTTGTGAGGAGAACTGTTGAGGAAAAATAATAGAACCCAATTTTAAGTTCATCATGGTGAAGTTGAACATTGTGGCGGTAATTGTAAGAATGATAAATGCTTGTTGATGTCATATAGTAATGTCTTGAATAAAATATGCCTATTTCCGATGTTTCTCTTTCTTTTTGGCTTTATCGCGTGTGTAGACACATTTCATGATGGTAAGTTTAATTTCCTTGATTTTAACAATTGTAGCGTTGTTTTTAAACTTGTAGTCAAGCTATACGTATTTGATATTAATCACGTATGGCTAAAATCATGCAGGGATTAAAAACAAATTCTGAGCAAAAATGTTAAGGCCCCCCCTTTCCGATAGCCTATAGTTCGGAGGTCTCTTTTGGCCCGTTTTTAACGAAATAAAAATAACTGCTTTATTTATTTAGAAGCAGGGGTAATTGTAATTTCTTTTTTGTATTTTAATTTTTATATTATGAATCAAAATACAATGCCCACAATATAATATTCAGTGTTGGGCTGCCGAAACTCCAAACGCGTGCATGTTGAGGGGCGAGCTGAGATATAGGCTATACGTATTTGATATTAATCACGTATGGCTAAAATCATGCAGGGATTAAAAAAGAATTCTGAGCAAAAATGTTAATATGTTAATAAATGTTCCGATAGCCTATAGTTCGGAGGTCTCTTTTGGCCCGTTTTTAACGAAATAAAAATAACTGCTTTATTTATTTAGAAGCAGGGGTAATTGTAATTTCTTTTCTTTTTTGTATTTTAATTTTTATATTATGAATCAAAATACAATGCCCACAATATAATATTCAGTGTTGGGCTGCCGAAACTCCAAACGCGTGCATGTTGAGGGGCGAGCTGAGATATAGTACTATAATGTCTTCATCCATTTGCAACAAAACTTTATAGTTTTGTTGCATATGAATTAAGAATTTATAGTGCTATATCTCAGCTTAATTAAACATAATTATACTGTATACACTGTTTAAAAAAATCTGTAAAAATATTGCACTGAAATGTGCGCTTAACCTTATACCTGTCATATTTGTGGTTTTTCATCATTATACCGTCTGTTTAAATAAATATTCAGAAACACATGCAGTGCTACTTTTTGTCTTTTTTCTGTTTAACTTTTATTAAACTGCAGATCGAAATAGAATAGGCCTATACCTTAAATAAGGATAAATTATATTGGAACGCATCTCCAAAATAATTGCATACACAGATGCACGTTGCCATTACAGTAGTCAGCGCTGAACAACAGGCAAATAAAATATAAACTGAGGTTACAAAAGTGATTCAGTCAAGATCAGTGAGGGATTTTCTCTTCTTTCGTTCTTTAAATTAACATTAATGGCTGCTGTCAATGCACGGATCCAATACACCCTTGTTTTCCTTCTCCGTTCTTTACGTTCACTTAAGACATAACCGATAATTGTATTTATGGGATATTTTGATATAATTCTGTGTATTTGTCCATTCTAATGTGTAAGAATGCGAGAGAGAGCTCAGTCCAGTGTTCGCGTATATAAGAGGTGGCTTTTGTGCATGTGCTTTGTTGTGTGAGCAGAACAGAAAACAGCGCGCGAGTGCAGAAGTGAGTTCTATTTCATCTTCTTGCAGTTGAATCTTTTGAAATCACAATAAATGTACATACAGGAATTGAGAAGCAGAATCGAAGTTAAGAAGTAATTTGATTCCTGACCTTACACATCTAATCTGATTTCCAAAAGTGGAATAGCTTTTCGATTCCCAACTAGGGATGTAACGATTACCGGTTTGACGATAAATCGTGATAAAATAGTATTACCGTTTCATATAGGGCTGGAAGATATGGCCAAAATTGATATCACAATATATTTCTTAATTTCGGTCGATACGATATAATTCCGATATCGATATGAACACTGTTTATCTGAAATAGAAATCTTTTGTAACATTATAAATGCCTTTATCATCACTTTTGATCAATTTTAAGCATCCTTGCTAAATAAAAGTATTAATTTCTATTCATCTTATTCGTTTTTGTTAATAAACGTTTTGTAAGCTAGTTTGTCAATTTATCTTACTGTTTATTGTTGTTAAGCTATTTAATTAAGAATAACAATGAATCCATCTTTTGTTTTAGTCTTAAAAAGTGAAAGGTGTGTAGATCAAAAAACGGACCGAATTTGCCTGCCCTGCTGTAAATTTTGACCGGTTGATGAAAAACAAGCTTATGTGGATTCTACACATTTAAACAACAAGGTATCTAGTATTATTTATGGAGCAGATAAATACATATAATCATTTATTAATCCATTATCATTTTGACTTGACCCTTTTTTTTATTTAAAAGCTGAAATGTGAGGTTTACCATTTATGAAACTTGCTTATGAAAGCTTTATTTGAACATTTACATTAGATATTTGAACATGCTGTTAGATAAACTGTTGTCAGTCAAGTTGTCATTTAAAATCCGGACATCATTGGCAATGTTATTGTTTTAGTTATGCAAACAAAAACTCATTTTATTTGTTGTTTGTTGATTTGAAATATAAAACTTGGCGAAATTATTTGTGTGTCAGTACTTTTTGAACATTTCCAGCACATTTGAACAATACCGTGATAATACTGATAACCGTGATAATTTTGGTCACTATAATCGTGATAAGGAATTTTCATGCTGTTACATCCCTATTCCCAACCCTCCTATATTGTTTCATTCTTGCATGCAAAAAGACTTGTATGGTGACTATGGGGCTATTTAAAGTATTACTTACTAGGTTTATCATTTGTCATTTTTTTCTGATAATCGTCTGTTACCTGACTGTTGACATCGACTTTGCGATACTTACGAGACATCGTCGATATACGATAATATCGTCATATCACCCAGCCCTACAGAGCACTTAAGTTTATGTGACAAAGTACAACCATTAAAATGACTTTTAAGTTCCTTTAAGAGTCACTAACTAAACACTGACCAGCTGGGATTTGGGATGTTGGTTTTGGTGAAGCATTTTTGATACATTGGAGATTTAATAATGTGAAATGATCAATCAAATTATACAATTTATAAAATTATTAAAAAAAAATTCCTCTCTTCAAAAGAGTGAATAGAATGTTGGCCATATTGGCCTGTTGACTGGTGCCTTTTTCAGCAATTCTAACACAATTCATGGTGTAAATCTAAGAATGCAGTGTAAAAATGACAGTCTGAGTCCCGCTGCTGTTTGTGAATCTACACACATGGTCTGCTGAAGAAAAGATCAGTGACTGTGGCATATCTTTTGCCTCTGCATTCAGAGCTTTATCTTTTTTATCTCTTATATTTGATTTCTTGTCTTGCTAGAGCTCTGTCTGTTTTATTTGTGACCAAATGAAAAAAGCAGTTTTACAGCCTGTTAGAAACAAACTTTAGATTACCTCAGGTTTCAAAATGAATGCAGAGGAGTTACCATCCAGAATCATATGATTGCAAATGGCAATATAGCTTCTAATATAGTGGAAGACGTCCTTTGTGAAGCAAAATCATATAATGTAGTAATTAAGTGCTAGTAAATCACTAGTAAATCAGTTATTTTGCCAGGATTGATGCAATAAACAAAGTGGTCATTTGGTGTGTTTCCATAAAATGTTTTGAGTAATACTGGTTTCTTCTGATTGAATTCCAGTGGGTATCGGTGTTAAAATAAGTCTCTCTGTTTGTTCTTCTCTTTGACAGGAAAATCGTTATAAAGCTTGGAAAGAAGAAGCGAAAGAAGACAGATTCCTCTGAAGAGCTGTCTGATGATGACAGACCAACTCGACGATCCTCTAAAGATGATGATTCGGTGAGCTTTGTTTTTTTTTTTATCTATTCTTGATATGCCTGGATGACACTTTCATGCTGTTTTATATAATCATCTAGCAAGAAAAGCATTTGCAAGTAATCATTTCTGGAGCAGGTGGCACAAATTGTATGCACTTTGTTGCTGGCCATTCTTTAAACTGCATAATGCAGTGGTGCTTCCTGCAGCATGTGTATGTTCAGTCCAAGAGCTAAAGAGACTGAGATGACTGCCGTACCCTCAAATGAATTCCATCTCTTTCTTCTGAAATGACTAACCTCTCATTCCCCCATCCATGATATACCCCCCTCCACCCTTCCAGGTATAATTATCCTCTTTAAATACCCCTGTGTTAATTAAAGCAGTGTTTTTTTGATGACTCAGTTAGGCTGTCGGAGTTAAAGCCTCAGCCATGTGCATTTTAGGAAACACTGGGGTCTTGTGGCAGGGCGGGTGGGACTTTATTTGGTCATCCTGAGATATTCTCATCCTCTCCATTTACTTTAACTCATACACATTTAGGTCATGTTATATTTGGGAGGACAGACTCTCTCTCTCTCTCTCTCTCTCTCTCTCTCTTGCTCTCTCTCTCTCTCTCTTTCACTCTGCTGTACTAATTTATTAAAGGCCCCCTGATGGGCATCTCTGATTTGCTGAGTGAAAAATAAAAGTGTGCATGCGCAGGGGCTCTCCTCCTCTCTTGGTCATCTAAAGTGACATTTACATGGCTCAAGAAGCCACCTGGGGTAATATAATAATATGGTTTTTGCAAAATATTTAAAATTCAATTGATAATTTCTTTATTTATTTGAAAATGCTGTCATTAATGTAAAATGTATGCATTTATATTTAGATTTCTGAATGCATATATATTATACACACTTCAAAAGAGGTGAATGCATACTATGATTTGAATAACTTAAAAAATGCATACTTTTATTCAGCATTAATAATCAGACATAAAGACAAATAAATGATGTTCTTTTGAACTTCCTATTCATCAAAGAAAGAATTTATAATGGTTTTAACAAAAGTATTAAGCAGCACAACTGTTCTCAACATTGATAATGATAGGAAATGTTTCTTGAGCACCTAATCAGCATTAGAATGATTTCTGGAGAATCATGAGACACTGAAAACTGGAGTAATGACTGCTGAAAAGTCAGCTTTGCCATCACAGAAATAAATTACTTTTTTTTTTCTTTTTTTCTTTTTACTTAAAATAGAAAAGTTATTTTAAATTATAATCAAATTATTAAATTATTAATTATTAAATTATTATCAAATAAATGCAGCCTTGATGAGCATAAAAGACTTCTTTCAAAAAGAACTGTGAAAAAAATTCAAACATACACTCACTTTTATTTGTGTGTCTATAGAAGCGACGTTCAAACCGGAAGGTCAAGAGGAAGAAGTATGAGGATGATGGCGAGGCTCGATTGTCCGATGAAGAAATGAAGGTCATCGTAAAAGCCAAGAAGACCAACTCCAACGCTCACAAACAGCCTTCGGTGCAACTGTTTGTGGTGCGTACATTAAATCTCATTAAATCTCTTGTTTCTTATGATGGGTCCCAGCATGCTCAAGCAGTTCTCTGATCTTGATTATAATGTGCTATGGTTAGAATGAGGAAAGACAATGCATCCTTTTATGTGTGTGTGTGTGTGTGTGTGTGTGTGTGAGAGAGAGAGAGAGAGAGAGAGGGAGGGAAGTTGTGTGTATTTAAGTATATGTTGTGGTATGAAGAGACTCTGGAATCTGGTTTATGTTGGTTTATAGGAGAACCCGACTGAGGAAGATGCTGCTGTGGTTGATAAAATCATGGCATCTCGTGTGGTGAAAAAAGAGGTTAGAGTTTCACAATCTCTGTGTTTTATTAAGTGTGTTTTTCTTATTCATCTTTAGATCCCATCTGGAAATTATAGCCCTGTTTGCACATGGTATATTACACATGACACTTACACTTCCTGTGACCAGTTGTGATCAGATTTTGTCAGGGGGGAGGGTCTCTATATTTTATGACTGTGTACATCACACTGCATGTTGATAAAGATAAAGCACGGGAAATAGGGGAAAAACAACAGACATTTTAGTGCATAGTTGTTCTGAAATATGCTGGAATTTTAATCTTATAACAAATGTGACATTTCCAGCAGAATGCTCATAGATTTAATCTGTATTAAACTTTAATATGTGTGCTAATATGTTTATTAATTTAGCAAATGCTTCTATCCCAAGCGAGTTATCTGTGTAAATGTGATTTATCAGCCGTGAATAAGAGACTTAATTTAGCTTTTATCGGGAAAAATTAACTATTTACTTATATAACTATATTATTAGTAAGTAGTAGTAACTATTTTACTTATAAAATTATTTTTCTTTATTCAGAAATGGAGGGAAAAACTATTATTGATTATTTATTTTAATAATATTGTATATTATATTTAATATATGTATAATATTATATATATAATATTTTTTTCATTCATTCAACAGGTTTCTGCTGGGGTGATGGTCGAAACCGAAGAGTATTATGTCAAGTACAAAAACTAGTAAGTCAATTAGGCACTGGTTTTTATCAGCTTTAACAGTTTTCTCTGTTAGCTTTTAAGCTGTAAAAAAATCTGTTTTTCATATTGCTAATAACCAGGAGCAGCTCGGAGAGCAATTTAGTCATGTGTTGATGAGCGCGCATAATTTAGCGTGTGTAAGGAGCATTCAGTAATTATGTAAACGTGTGTGTTGTAGCTCGTATCTTCACTGTGAGTGGGCGACGGAGCAGCATTTAGAGAAAGACAAGAGGATCCAGCAGAAAATCAAGCGCTTCAAGATCAAACAGGCGCAGAAAGCACACTTCTTTGCTGATGTAAGAGTGCCCGTGTTTGTTTGTATGATGCATTTCAGGTTAAATGTGATTTCATTTAGTCATAATAATCACTGGGGAGATTTATTTGTAATTATTAATTATGCGTATGTGTGTGTTTAAGATGGAGGAGGAACCATTCAATCCCGACTATGTAGAAGTGGACCGAGTTCTTGAGGTCTCGTACTGTGAGGACAAGGACACCGGAGAGGTAGCCGTTGCTCTGAATCGTGTGTTTGTGTGTGCGGTTAGCACTCTGTGTAGTTCATGAAGGGATGCTCTCTCTTTGTTTATTTTGTGTAAGTCTCAAAACCTTCTTTTTGTGTGCATGTGTAGCCAGTGGTGTATTACTTGGTGAAATGGTGCTCATCGCCGTATGAGGACAGCACATGGGAGCTGAATGAAGATGTAGACCAGACTAAGATTGAAGAGTTCAAAAAGCTGCAGGCAGCAAAACCACACACCAACAGAGTGGTGAGACCATCTCCCTCTTGCTCCCTCTTATACCATTTTAGTTTAGTTTACTACCATTCAAACATGTTCTTTCTATTCCAAATAAATGCTGTTCTTTTGAACTTTCTATTCATCAAATATATTAATCATCCTAAAAAAATCATTATGGTTTCCACAAAAATATTAAGCAACACCATTGTTTTCAGCGTTGATAATAACAAGAAAATGAAGCCGCAAAATCAGCAGATCAGCATATTAGAATGAGTTATGAAGGATCACGTGACACTGAAGACTGGAGTAATGTTTGCATTTGAAAATATATTAAAATAGAAAAGATATTTCAAATTCTAATCATATTTCACAATATTACAGTTTTTACTGTACTTTTGATCAAATAAATGTAGCCTTGGTGAGCATAAGATAATATTATTTAAATTATGTATTCACCATATATTCCTCTTTCTCGATGTAATTGCCTATGAGTTCAGGGACCTGAAACAGCTCTTTAACATGCCTAAACCGTGCATAACTGGATATATAATACTCACTTCTCCATCATTTAATGAATTCCTGTTGCTATAATCAGTATATGCTATAAGCTGTTGACGTTTGCACTACAAAGTATTTAAATATGCATGCCGAATTGGTGTTCCAAAACAAATAGTGCCTGGTTAAACTGTAATGCAGCTAGTTAGTGTGTTTAATGCAAGTTGTCCCCCTTGAATGCCATGTTCTGAATTTTGCGTGCTCTCTCAGGAGCGTCCACCGGCGAGTCACTGGAAGAAGCGGGAGCAATCACGAGAGTATTGTAATGGAAACTGTCTCAGGGATTACCAGCTGGAGGGGGTCAACTGGCTTCTCTTCAACTGGTATAACAGGTAAGTGAACGTTCAGCCCTGACACAGGGATCCTTCCTCTTTAACCTTCCTCATATATGTCAATAAAACTACTGAGTGGAACGTCATCAAATGGTGTACGTTTAATCTGTGAACTAATGTCTGCATGCATGGCTTTTCTTATATACTTTGCGCCCTTGTTCTTTTGCTTGCTTTTTATGTATAGACAGATAATTGAATGGCAGATAGGCGAGAGAGAGCTGTGTGTGTTGAGTGTTGTGGGAATCTAATTTTCCATTCAGACTTCAGACAGCATTGAGACCATCAATGAGATAATGAATGAATTAAATAACTTTAAATTCCAGCGGCTCATCTAGCTGATGCTTTTGTACAAAAGCAACTTACAAACCCAATTTGAATGTCATTTAAGTGTTACTATTATATATTAGCTCAATTTCCAGGCTTTTCTGTTTTTTTGTCCTTGCTCTGGATATGCTGGCGCTCACTGTTGTATGTATTATGTGTGGCTGTGTGTGCAGTAGCACTACATTTCAACAGGCATTGTGTCAAGAACGTCTAACATTGTGATTTTTGCATTTAAATTTCATAATATTATTTAAATTATGTATTCACCATATATTCCTCTTTCTCGATGTAATTGCCTATGAGTTCAGGGACCTGAAACAGCTCTTTAACATGCCTAAACCGTGCATAACTGGATATATAATACTCACTTCTCCATCATTTAATGAATTCCTGTTGCTATAATCAGTATATGCTATAAGCTGTTGACGTTTGCACTACAAAGTATTTAAATATGCATGCCGAATTGGTGTTCCAAAACAAATAGTGCCTGGTTAAACTGTAATGCAGCTAGTTAGTGTGTTTAATGCAAGTTGTGCCACTTGAATACCATGTTCTGAATTTTGCGTGCTCTCTCAGGAGCGTCCACCGGCGAGTCACTGGAAGAAGCGGGAGCAATCACGAGAGTATTGTAATGGAAACTGTCTCAGGGATTACCAGCTGGAGGGGGTCAACTGGCTTCTCTTCAACTGGTATAACAGGTAAGTGAACGTTCAGCCCTGACACAGGGATCCTTCCTCTTTAACCTTCCTCATATATGTCAATAAAACTACTGAGTGGAACGTCATCAAATGGTGTACGTTTAATCTGTGAACTAATGTCTGCATGCATGGCTTTTCTTATATACTTTGCGCCCTTGTTCTTTTGCTTGCTTTTTATGTATAGACAGATAATTGAATGGCAGATAGGCGAGAGAGAGCTGTGTGTGTTGAGTGTTGTGGGAATCTAATTTTCCATTCAGACTTCAGACAGCATTGAGACCATCAATGAGATAATGAATGAATTAAATAACTTTAAATTCCAGCGGCTCATCTAGCTGATGCTTTTGTACAAAAGCAACTTACAAACCCAATTTGAACGTCATTTAAGTGTTACTATTATATATTAGCTCAATTTCCAGGCTTTTCTGTTTTTTTGTCCTTGCTCTGGATATGCTGGCGCTCACTGTTGTCACAGCAGAGTGTGAGACCTATTAACTGTAATTCAAGGCTTTTGAATTGGTTACCTGTTAGTATCATGTTTTGTAAAGGAGAAAGATAGAGGGAAAAAAGCAAGCCACAACTCAATTATGGTTATTTTATTCCTTTTCAAACTAAATGTAATTGCAAAGTTGGCAGAGTGTATCTCGGACAAAGTCCATAAAGCGATGCTTGATATGCAAAAAATCTAACATCACTGTTATGGCTGGGTGGTATTTCAGCATATACAATACCTCGTAATGGTAGAAATGTGTCAACTGGTACGAAATTTGATATACCCTGTACCGCTAATGCCACAGTGGATATATTTGCATAACTACCAGTGAAGATGGAGTAATATGATTAAGAAATAATAGATGGAGAAAAAAAGCATTGCAACTTGTTGCATTAATACAGAATTAAATTGTTGGGTCAGCTTTCTTTATATTGGCTTTTTCATAACTGGTACTGCTCATCTGGTCAGAATTCATATTTAAAAAATAATAATAACATTTAATATAAATTTTATAAATTAATTTTAAGTTAAGTTGTAATGTATAATAATTTTTTTAGTTTTAATCATTTAATTTTATAATATCGGTTTTACCATGTGGTTTGCATCCTACAGGTTCTGAAAAAAAGAGGAGCAAAAAATTACCTTTCATTTATTGAAAAGTCATTTTTATAGTTTATATTTTTTAATTCACTGTATTACTAAAAAATAGGCATAATGCATATAATTTATGATTTATATATTTATATAGTGTGTGTGCGTGTGTGTGTGCGCGTGCGCGTGTGTGTGTGTGCGCGTGTGTGTGTGTGTGTGTGTGAAATGCATTTTTGTTGAATTTCCTGCAAAAATACCCATATCATTATGTATACTGTTATGATTAAATAAAAATCCCCATACTGTTATATATGATTTTTGTCATATCACTTAAACCTAATGCCTGTATAATGGTGTACCATGCAAAACCTCAGGGAACCAAAAAAAATGGAAAATGTTTGCAGGTACTTATTATCTCTCTTTCTCTCTTACAGGGTCGTGTGATAAGAGGTGCTTACCGGTTTCAGGCGGTCATTACAACATTTGAGATGATATTGGGAGGCTGTCCAGAACTTAACGCAATAGACTGGCGCTGTGTCATCATTGATGAAGCCCATCGGCTCAAAAATAAGAACTGCAAGCTACTGGAGGGCTTCAAACTTATGAGTCTGGTATAAATAAGACATTATTATAGTTATATTTAAAACTCATCACAGTTGTCTTTTCTTTTCCTATGTTTTTAACTTGATATCTGTTGACCTCTTAGGAACACAAGGTTTTGTTGACGGGCACTCCACTACAAAACACAGTAGAGGAACTCTTTAGTCTGCTACACTTCCTGGAGCCGAACCGCTTCCCTTCAGAAAGCACCTTCATGCAGGAATTTGGAGACCTCAAGACTGAGGAGCAGGTGCTGTATTTGGATATACGTTATATATTACTGTGTTTAAATTCATATATGTTCTGTATATATTAACTCTTCATCTGTATACGTTTGTGCATGTAGGTCCAGAAACTCCAGGCCATCCTGAAACCGATGATGCTGCGTCGTCTTAAGGAAGACGTGGAGAAGAAGTTGGCTCCTAAAGAGGAAACCATCATTGAAGTGGAGCTCACCAACATCCAGAAGAAATACTACCGCGCCATCCTGGAAAAGAACTTCTCATTCCTGGCTAAGGGAGCTGGCCAAGCCAACGTCCCAAACCTGCTCAACACCATGATGGAACTGCGGAAATGCTGCAACCATCCCTACCTCATCAAAGGTACAACCATTTAAACCCCAGCTGCTGCGAAAACCAACAAGCCTACATTAGGCAAGGTCCTAAGAAGTCTGGCGCTTTCTCTTCTCTTCTAGGGGCTGAGGAGAAGATCTTAGAGGACTTCAAGGTGTACAGTCCCGCAGCAGTAGATTTCCACCTGCAGGCTATGATTCAGTCAGCAGGTAAACTCGTTCTCATTGACAAGCTGCTCCCCAAGATGAAGGCCGGTGGACACAAAGTGCTCATCTTTTCTCAGATGGTGCGCTGCCTGGACATCCTGGAAGACTACCTCATCCAGAGAAGGTGAGAATCGAAAACAGCGACATCCTAAATGTGTATTTCATTGCTGTGATTGGCTCTCGCCATGTTCCTGCCGAGTTCATGGGGTTTAACTGCAAAATGTGACGTCCCGCTCTACTATATTTGTTTTAGATACATTACAGTGTATATATGCCGTGTTAACAAGCAATCTAATCTGCTTTTTTGGCAGAAGTTCAATGCCACATTTTGTGTTCACGTGTTCCTTATCTCTCTGGCCCTTTATACAGAGCTCTCTTCTGTTGAACCCCTTTGCATCACCGATATCACATGACCGTTTTATGCATTAGCTAGAAATAGTTTCTTTCCTAAGAAAAAAATTAAGTCTCATTCATTTTTCTCTTGCCTCAGCTTATAATAATAATAATAATAATAATTCCTTATATTTATATAGCGCTTTTCTGGGCACTCAAAGCGCTTTACACAGAATGGGGGAATCTCCTCAACCACCACCAGTGTGCAGCATCCACCTGGATGATGTGACGGCAGCCATATTGCGCCAGAACGCCCACCACACACCAGCTTATTGGTGGAGAGGAGACAGAGTGATGAAGCCAATCAGCAGATATGAGGATGGTTAGGAGGCCGTGATGGTCAGAGGCCAATGGGCAAAAATTTGGCCAGGATGCCGGGGTTACACCCCTACTCTTTTTCAAAGAACATCCTGGGATTTTTAATAACTGCAAAGAGTCAGGACCTCAGTTTAACGTCTCATCCGAAAGACGGTGCTTTTTGACAGTATAGTGTCCCCGTCACTATACTGGGGTGTTAGGACCCACACAGACCACAGGGTGAGCACCCCCTGCTGGCCTCACTAACACCTCTTCCAGCAGCAACCTAGTTTTCCCAGGAGGTCTCCCATCCAGGTACTGACCAGGCTCAACCCTGCTTGGCTTCAGTGGGCAACAAGTCTTGGGCTGCAGGGTGATAGGGCTGCAGGGCTGCAGATTGTCTGTGACAGTCTAGCAGTGTGTACAGCGTACTGTTTGTGAAGTAAGTGCTGTGTATGTTGGCTGATGTAGTTAGGGTGCTGCAGGACACAGACACTCCAGGGATCTCACATCAAGCACACAGTCCCAGAGGCACAGCTCTGCCCTAAGTGGGTCAGAGAAAGCAGGAAGTAACATGGAAAAATATGTGACTAAAAAAGAGGAAGAGATAAAGGACATGAATGGAAAAAAAGAAAAGAAAAGTTAGGGAAAAGGTGATGGAAAGAGTTTTAGGAGTGAGCTAGGGACATACTAATGCAACATTGCTCTTGGGTAATCAACATTATTCAGCTTTACTTGCTTTACATGTAACCTGGAATATTCTTTTAACACATTTAGTTCATTAGGTAATGACAATAAAACAATGTATTGTAATGTCAATTTGTATAGATGAAACTGTTTTGATGGTAGAATATATGCATATACAGTACTACCATTCAGAAGTCAGTAAGATTTATTTATTTTCTTTTAAAGAAAGAAAGAAAGAAATCGAAACTTGAGCAAGGATGCATTAAATTGATCCAAAGTGGCAGTAAAGATATTTATGGTTATGTTACAAAAGATTTCGGTTTCAAATAAATGTGTTTATTTGAACCGTCTATTAAACAAAGAACCCTGAAAAAAAATCACAGTTTACACACACATATTAAGCAGTAATTTTTTTTTTATATTGATGATAAGAAATGTTTAATGATATTTCACTAATGTACCGTTTTTTTTATTGTATTTTTGATCAAATGAATGCAGCTTTGTTGATCATAAGAGATTTCTTTTAAAAACATTAAAAAACCTGACCACAATCTGTTGACTAGTAGTAGTGTATGTATGATGTCTGTGCACTGACTGTGTGGAAGTGCTCGATAAAGTACATCGATCTGTCATTTCTAAGTCAAACTGACCTTTTTCAGATACCTCTATGAGCGGATAGATGGCCGTGTACGTGGGAACCTCCGTCAAGCAGCAATAGACCGTTTCAGTAAACCAGACTCCGATCGATTTGTCTTCCTGCTGTGTACTCGAGCAGGTGGGCTCGGTATTAACCTCACAGCTGCCGACACCTGTATCATCTTTGACTCTGACTGGAATCCTCAGAACGACCTGCAGGTACATATATACACACACACACAAACTTGATAGTCAAATTGTAGAGGTTCCTATTGGCTTATTTTCCTTTTTTCTTGTATTATCCACAGGCTCAGGCTCGCTGCCACAGGATTGGTCAGAATAAAGCAGTAAAAGTATATCGACTAATCACACGTAACTCATATGAGCGAGAGATGTTTGATAGAGCCAGTCTAAAGCTGGGATTGGATAAAGCGGTGCTTCAGAGCATGAGCGGACGAGACAGCAGTCTAGGAGGAGGAGGGGTAAGTCGTCAAATGTTACCTATGTACCAGGTTTTTTTTTCCTCCAGCCCTCATTACATTGTTGTTCTCTACATGGAGATTTGCATGGTGGTGTTGATTGATATGTTTTTTGTACTGGTGTAATTTATATTGTCTGGTTTCATTCACTGTCTCTCTCTCTCCGTCTTTTATAGCAGATGCAGCAGCAGCTCTCTAAGAAGGAGATTGAGGATCTTCTGCGGCGTGGAGCTTATGGTGCCATCATGGACGAGGAAGATGAGGGGGCTAAATTTTGTGAAGAGGACATTGACCAAATCCTGCAACGCAGAACCAAGACCATCACTATTGAATCTGAGGGTCGGGGCTCCACCTTTGCCAAGGTCAGCTTCTCTCTTTCATCTTTTATTTGTTGTATGTTTAAAAGTATTAATCATAATGTTTTCTTACAGTTTCTCTTATAAAAGCAATTTTCAGATAACATACTTGTTAAGGTTGCAGATACATTGAAATAAAATCAAACAACGAAGGAGAATAACAAAAAGAAGCTTTAAGGGCTCCCTGTAGTTTGTAGTTGTAGTTTTGGAATAATGTTTGAAAATTAAGGAATTAGCATGCAATATTAGTATTATAATTTTACAGTTGTGGAAATATTTTTTTAAAAACTGTTCACTTTGTTTACTGAAAAAGGTTTAGCTCAAAAAAAAAAAAAATATATATATATATATATATATATATATATACAGCAAGGGTCATTTTAGAGACATTATTTAACATGTTGTTCTCATTTGTTTTTGCTGTGTTCATAGGCCAGTTTTGTTGCTTCAGGGAACAGAACAGACATCTCTCTGGATGACCCCAACTTCTGGGACAAGTGGGCTAAGAAAGCAGAGATTGACATGGATACAGTCAATGGCAGAGTAAGTTATACACAGACTCTGCCATATCAAAGTTTAACAGTGTAGCAGAGAAGCCCACATCCTCCTACCTGACTCTCCAGTGCCAGGATTACTTTGAGAGCTGCCTAGACATCTGTTAATAAAAATAAAAAAAAATAATTAAGTTACAGAAAGCTCCTTTTGTCTGTCAGTGGCTGATGGGAAAACCCCCATAAATGAGATTTTGAGCAGAGAGGCATTGCTGTAAGAGATGACAGGATGCTGGCTAACATGATTGGTATTTAATGTAATGCACTCTCTGAAATAACTCAATCATTGTTTTCTGTGGGCGGCTCTTCTGTATTTTAGTTGTAAGTGCTACACTTGAGAGCAAAGAGCGATTGAAAGCAAACATCAGTTTTAGTGAATGCGGTTGGCCTTATTTAAATACATAGCACTGCTCTCAGTAAAGGTGGGTCAGTGGTTCTGTTTTAACTGTTGTTATTTGATGTGGTTTTGCTACAGAACAGTCTGGTGATCGACACCCCTCGTGTCAGGAAACAGACCCGACCGTTCAGCGCTACTAAGGATGAGCTGGCCGAGCTCTCTGAAGGGGAGAGTAGCGGGGATGACAAACCCAAACTCCGCCGGCCACATGACCGCCTCAACAGCTATGGCCGCACCGAGTGCTTCCGGGTGGAGAAAAATCTGTTGGTGTACGGGTGAGTGATGGCTAGTGCTCTACCGATATGGGTTTTGTTATATGCCATTACAATAACTATATATACACTACTGTTTAAAAGTTTGGAGTTGGTAAGAGTTTTATTTTTGAAAGATGTTTCTTGACCAAATGGTTGTGCAGCTTAATATTTTTGTGGAAACCGTGATACATTTTTTTTTCCAGGATTCTTTGCTAAATTAAAAGTTTAAAAGGACATTTATTTGAAATAGTAACATTTTAAATGAATTTGCTATCACTTTTGATCCGTTTAATGTGTTCTTGCTGAATGAAAGCTCATTGTGCTGCATACTGTACGTATAATACACTATAGAAATAAACTTTATACAAAATATGCAAATATAGGAAGTAAGTCTCTTCTCAGGCAGAGTTCTTGACACTGTAGATGAAATGATGGACCACTGAATGTGTTTCTGTGGTCATAGGTGGGGCCGCTGGAAGGATATCCTGGCTCACGGGCGCTTTAAGCGACAGCTGAGCGAGCGTGATGTGGAGTGTATATGCAGAGCACTCCTGGCATACTGCCTCGTTCATTACCGTGGAGATGATAAAATCAAAAGCTTCATGTGGGATCTGATCGCTCCCACAGAGGACGGCAGGACCAAGGAACTTCAGAACCATTTGGGTATGAGGACTGAAATTCAGTTATCTTTTGCTTTTTGATTTAGTCAGGATTAATGTCTGTTTTAAAGCATGTGACATTATTTCGATTTTTTAAATGTGATTTGTGCAGGTTTGTCGACTCCAGTGCCACGAGGCAGAAAAGGAAAGAAGATGAAGACTCAGTCTAGCTCATTTGATATCCAGAAGGCAGAGTGGATACGAAAACACAACCCAGAACACATGTTGTCTGATGATGGGTACAAGAAACACCTGAAACACCACTGCAACAAGTGAGTATTGCATTGCAAGCATAATATACGCTACTGTTTGATACACCAAAAATTTGGGGTCGATAAAATAGTGTTTTTGAAAGAAGCCTGTTATGTCTACCAGTGTTGCATTTATTTGATCAAAAAATGCAGTAAAAACAGTCATATTGTACAATTTAAAGTGACTAAACTTTTCCATTTTAATATTTTTTTTAATAAGAAATTAACTTTCTAACTATTGTCTGTGTTAAAAAATAGTTTAGCAGCAAGAACACTTATTCCTGGTCTTATTTTTACCATCAGTGCATCCCATTTATGATCTGATTTTTTTTTTTTATATTACCTGTTGTGCAACTCACCAATAACGTTAGGCCATAAAGCAGCAGTAACACCCACTTTCAACCACACAGCCACTCGGCTGTGTGTGAACGCCTCATTAGATGGATATCTGCCACTCTGGAGGAAGTGTGTGAGTGTGATGCAATGATAGAAGGGAATCTCCCATTTTAGCCCTGTGATCTTATTCTGGTAAAGCCCACTCTCACACACTTGTTTAGGGGTTTTTCTCTTAGGGAGTGGAAGATGAGGTGCTTTCAGGTCACGCTCTTCAGTTCTTGACACTTTAGTTGTCAAACTCACTATCAAATCTGTCTGGCTGGCTGTCTCTCTTTGTCTGCAAATGCTTAACAATTCTTGCATTAGAAAGCAGCCAAAGTGTTGTACATCATGTCACGCTATAAATCAGGCTGTGTGAGTCCCAGAGGCACAGCTCTGCCCTAAGTGGGTCAGAGAAAGCAGGAAGTAACATGGAAAAATATGTGACTAAAAAAGAGGAAGAGATAAAAGACATGAATGGAAAAAAAGAAAAGAAAAGTTAGGGAAAAGGTGATGGAAAGAGTTTTAGGAGTGAGCTAGGGACATACTAATGCAACATTGCTCTTGGGTAATCAACATTATTCAGCTTTACTTGCTTTACATGTAACCTGGAATATTCTTTTAACACATTTAGTTCATTAGGTAATGACAATAAAACAATGTATTGTAATGTCAATTTGTATAGATGAAACTGTTTTGATGGTAGAATATATGCATATACAGTACTACCATTCAGAAGTCAGTAAGATTTATTTATTTTCTTTTAAAGAAAGAAAGAAAGAAATCGAAACTTGAGCAAGGATGCATTAAATTGATCCAAAGTGGCAGTAAAGATATTTATGGTTATGTTACAAAAGATTTCGGTTTCAAATAAATGTGTTTATTTGAACCGTCTATTAAACAAAGAACCCTGAAAAAAAATCACAGTTTACACACACATATTAAGCAGTAATTTTTTTTTTATATTGATGATAAGAAATGTTTAATGATATTTCACTAATGTACCGTTTTTTTTATTGTATTTTTGATCAAATGAATGCAGCTTTGTTGATCATAAGAGATTTCTTTTAAAAACATTAAAAAACCTGACCACAATCTGTTGACTAGTAGTAGTGTATGTATGATGTCTGTGCACTGACTGTGTGGAAGTGCTCGATAAAGTACATCGATCTGTCATTTCTAAGTCAAACTGACCTTTTTCAGATACCTCTATGAGCGGATAGATGGCCGTGTACGTGGGAACCTCCGTCAAGCAGCAATAGACCGTTTCAGTAAACCAGACTCCGATCGATTTGTCTTCCTGCTGTGTACTCGAGCAGGTGGGCTCGGTATTAACCTCACAGCTGCCGACACCTGTATCATCTTTGACTCTGACTGGAATCCTCAGAACGACCTGCAGGTACATATATACACACACACACAAACTTGATAGTCAAATTGTAGAGGTTCCTATTGGCTTATTTTCCTTTTTTCTTGTATTATCCACAGGCTCAGGCTCGCTGCCATAGGATTGGTCAGAATAAAGCAGTAAAAGTATATCGACTAATCACACGTAACTCATATGAGCGAGAGATGTTTGATAGAGCCAGTCTAAAGCTGGGATTGGATAAAGCGGTGCTTCAGAGCATGAGCGGACGAGACAGCAGTCTAGGAGGAGGAGGGGTAAGTCGTCAAATGTTACCTATGTACCAGGTTTTTTTTTCCTCCAGCCCTCATTACATTGTTGTTCTCTACATGGAGATTTGCATGGTGGTGTTGATTGATATGTTTTTTGTACTGGTGTAATTTATATTGTCTGGTTTCATTCACTGTCTCTCTCTCTCCGTCTTTTATAGCAGATGCAGCAGCAGCTCTCTAAGAAGGAGATTGAGGATCTTCTGCGGCGTGGAGCTTATGGTGCCATCATGGACGAGGAAGATGAGGGGGCTAAATTTTGTGAAGAGGACATTGACCAAATCCTGCAACGCAGAACCAAGACCATCACTATTGAATCTGAGGGTCGGGGCTCCACCTTTGCCAAGGTCAGCTTCTCTCTTTCATCTTTTATTTGTTGTATGTTTAAAAGTATTAATCATAATGTTTTCTTACAGTTTCTCTTATAAAAGCAATTTTCAGATAACATACTTGTTAAGGTTGCAGATACATTGAAATAAAATCAAACAACGAAGGAGAATAACAAAAAGAAGCTTTAAGGGCTCCCTGTAGTTTGTAGTTGTAGTTTTGGAATAATGTTTGAAAATTAAGGAATTAGCATGCAATATTAGTATTATAATTTTACAGTTGTGGAAATATTTTTTTAAAAACTGTTCACTTTGTTTACTGAAAAAGGTTTAGCTCAAAAAAAAAAAAAATATATATATATATATATATATATATATATACAGCAAGGGTCATTTTAGAGACATTATTTAACATGTTGTTCTCATTTGTTTTTGCTGTGTTCATAGGCCAGTTTTGTTGCTTCAGGGAACAGAACAGACATCTCTCTGGATGACCCCAACTTCTGGGACAAGTGGGCTAAGAAAGCAGAGATTGACATGGATACAGTCAATGGCAGAGTAAGTTATACACAGACTCTGCCATATCAAAGTTTAACAGTGTAGCAGAGAAGCCCACATCCTCCTACCTGACTCTCCAGTGCCAGGATTACTTTGAGAGCTGCCTAGACATCTGTTAATAAAAATAAAAAAAAATAATTAAGTTACAGAAAGCTCCTTTTGTCTGTCAGTGGCTGATGGGAAAACCCCCATAAATGAGATTTTGAGCAGAGAGGCATTGCTGTAAGAGATGACAGGATGCTGGCTAACATGATTGGTATTTAATGTAATGCACTCTCTGAAATAACTCAATCATTGTTTTCTGTGGGCGGCTCTTCTGTATTTTAGTTGTAAGTGCTACACTTGAGAGCAAAGAGCGATTGAAAGCAAACATCAGTTTTAGTGAATGCGGTTGGCCTTATTTAAATACATAGCACTGCTCTCAGTAAAGGTGGGTCAGTGGTTCTGTTTTAACTGTTGTTATTTGATGTGGTTTTGCTACAGAACAGTCTGGTGATCGACACCCCTCGTGTCAGGAAACAGACCCGACCGTTCAGCGCTACTAAGGATGAGCTGGCCGAGCTCTCTGAAGGGGAGAGTAGCGGGGATGACAAACCCAAACTCCGCCGGCCACATGACCGCCTCAACAGCTATGGCCGCACCGAGTGCTTCCGGGTGGAGAAAAATCTGTTGGTGTACGGGTGAGTGATGGCTAGTGCTCTACCGATATGGGTTTTGTTATATGCCATTACAATAACTATATATACACTACTGTTTAAAAGTTTGGAGTTGGTAAGAGTTTTATTTTTGAAAGATGTTTCTTGACCAAATGGTTGTGCAGCTTAATATTTTTGTGGAAACCGTGATACATTTTTTTTTCCAGGATTCTTTGCTAAATTAAAAGTTTAAAAGGACATTTATTTGAAATAGTAACATTTTAAATGGTTTTACTATCACTTTTGTTCAATTTTATGTGTTTAAAAGTTCATTGTGTTGTGTATATATACATATAATACACTACATAAACTTTATACCAAGGTCATGTTTTACTAAACAGGGCAAGTTAGCGCAAGAACCAATTCCAAAACAGCGCCGATGGGAGGGGAAATTTCTGCGGGTGATTTATTAACAATGTGCAAATTAAAGAACACCACCGCAACATCTCATTTACATATCGACCAACGTGATATACAAAGCGCAGCGCAAATTTGTGTAGTCGCAAATAAAGAATAAAGAAATAAAGAAGCCACAGTACGTTGAAAAGCAAATAAAAAATAACATGGCTTGAAACGCTATTTTCGTGTTCTTCTTACATTCCAAATAAATTACGTGTGGAAAAAATCCTCTCCCTTCCACCACGCACTCTCTTATCTCTGCGATGCCTCCTCCTAGCAACAAATTGCAGCCATTTCAAGATCAAAATAGTTTGACATGCTTTTTTTGGGCGTTAAATAATGGCGCAAATACCATTAATTTGACGAGCACAAACATTAGTAAAACGCGTTGCGTGATTCATTTGAATACTCTCCTCCCATAAATTTTGCGTCTGAAAGGGAAACTCCTAGAAATGCGTATTCACTAAGGTCAGGTTCAAAAATAACTGTCCACGCCTTTTCAGCGCTAATTCTTCACTGCGCTTCTTTAGTAAACCTGACAGTACTCTTTTAACGCCAAAAGACGGTTTGCGCTGGCGCAAGCGGTTAGTAAAACTGGCCCCAAATATGCAAATATAGGAAGTGAGACTCTTCTCAGTCAGAGTTGTTGACACTGATGATGAAATGATGGACCATGTAATTTGTTTCTGTGGTCGTAGGTGGGGCCGCTGGAAGGACATCCTGGCTCACGGGCGCTTTAAGCGTCAGCTGAGCGAGCGTGACGTGGAGTGTATATGCAGAGCACTCCTGGCATACTGCCTCGTTCATTACCGTGGAGATGATAAAATCAAGAGCTTCATGTGGGATCTGATTGCTCCCACAGAGGACGGCAGGACCAAGGAACTTCAGAACCATTTGGGTATGAGGACTGAAATTCAGTTATCTTTTGCCTTTTGATTTAGTCAGGATTAATGTCTGTTTTAAAGCATGTGACATTATTTCGATTTTTTAAATGTGATTTGTGCAGGTTTGTCGACTCCAGTGCCACGAGGCAGAAAAGGAAAGAAGATGAAGACTCAGTCTAGCTCATTTGATATCCAGAAGGCAGAGTGGATACGAAAACACAACCCAGAACACATGTTGTCTGATGATGGGTACAAGAAACACCTGAAACACCACTGCAACAAGTGAGTATTGCATCCCAAACACAATAGACGCTATTGTTTGATACACCAAAAATGTGGGGTCGATAAAGTGGTGTTTTTGAAAGAGGCCTGTTAAGTCTACCAGTGTTGCATTTATTTGATCATAAATGCATTAAAAAACAGTAATATGGTGAAATATTACTACAATTTAAAGTAACTAAAGTTTTCTATTTTAATACTAAAATGTAATTTATTCCTGTGATGGCAAAGCTGAATTTTCAGTAGCCATTAGTCCAGTCTTCAGTGTGACATGATCCTACAGAAAACATTCTAATGTGATGATTTGGTGCTCAAGAGATTAACTTTCTTACTATTATCTGTGTTGAAAACATACACATTTTTTTCAGAATTCAAAAAAAGTCGTACTGACCCCAGACTGTATGTGCATGATCTGATGTAAAATACACCGTATGGCTGGTGTTAATGGGTGTCAACTTAACACATACACCACTGTGTAACGACAAAGTGACCAGAAGTCATTTGTTTGCTGTTTTTGTTAGCAACTGTTGGTAATGCAATGTAGGCATGTCCATGGTTTTGAAAAAGTTAAGACAAAATGTAGCCTTGGGAAAATGAGCAGTGATGTTCACTGTGATAGCACTTCTACCGATAGACATAAAGACTCTAAAGCTCACAGATCCGTCTCTGGTGAGATGCTGTTGTCAAGTGTTGGCAAGGCCGTATTAATACTGCTATGAGCAATTTCTTTTAATTATGTAAAAAAAAAAAAAATAGATGAACCAAGAAAATGCCTTTTTAGTGAGTTTGATTCATACATTTATAAGCATCCATCTTGTTACTATGCACTGCTGCTGTTTATATTCAAGTATATTCAGTACATCCCATTTATATCTGATTTTTGAAAAATGCAGCCTGTTGTGCGGCTCACCAATAACATTAAGCCGTAAAGCAGCAGTAACACCCACTTTCAACCACACAGCCACTCGGCTACATGTGAATGCCCCATGAGATGGATATCTGCCACTCTGGAGGAAGTGTGTGATGCAATGATAAAGGGGGAATCTCCCATTTTAGCCCCGTGATCTTTTTTGTGGTATGGCCCACTCTCACACACTTGTTTAGGGGTTTTTCTCTTAGGGAATGGAAGATGAGAGGTGCTTTCAGGTCATGCTCTTCAGTTTTTGACACTTACATTGTCAAACTCACAATCAAATCTAGCTGGCTGTTCCCACTCTTTGTCTGTTTGTTTGTCACAAACTCTTAACAGTTCTTGCATCAGAAAGCAGCATCATGTCATGCTATAAACCAGACGGTGTGATTGTGCTTTGATAAATGAACCGTTCTGGACCAGGACGTGTGTGTTGAGAGAGTTTATTACTGTAAGGCTGGCTGCATCCAGGGCTCTCTGCCATTGGAGAAAGTTCCCTATTGTTTAGAAAGCTGTCCTGTTTAACGCACACACATAAGCGATGACCTGGGACACAGCTGTCAGCTTTGTATGCGTCTGCATTTTTTCTCAGGGCTGAAATGCCACTAATGTTAGGGTGAAAGTGTGAGTTTAAGTATGAAAGACTGTAAATTATCTGTCATTTCACATGAAGATCATAACATGGACAGATGCGAATAAGCTTGTAAGCAAAGTTCTTAAAGTCATGCTTTGCAGTCTACCTGAAATAAGTGTGTATTTATACAGTGGGGAAAAAAAGTATTTAGTCAGCCACCAATTGTGCAAGTTATCCCACTTAAAAAGATGAGAGAGGCCTGTAATTTTCATCATAGGTATACCTCAACTATGAGAGACAAAATGAGAAAAAAAATCCAGAAAATCACATTGTAGGATTTTTAAAGAATTTATTTGCAAATTATGGTGGAAAATAAGTATTTGGTCAATAACAAAATTTCATCTCAATACTTTGTTATATACACTTTGTTGGCAATGACAGAGGTCAAACGTTTGCTGTAAGTCTTCACAAGGTTTTCACACACGGTTGCTGGTATTTTGGCCCATTCCTCAAGAGCAGTAATGTTTTGGGGCTGTCGCTGGCGAACCCGGATTTTCAACTCCCTCCAAAGATTTTCTAGCGTTAAAAAAAAATATTTTTATTTTTAATTATTATTTTTATGTTTTTGAACAATAATGTTTTTGAACAGTTACATTGCCTACATTTACTTTCATGCATGCTCTCTGAAGCAGCTTTCATAAAAAAAATGAAAAGGCTGTACGTGTTAGCACTCATTAACACCAGCCATATGGCAGTGCATTTTACATCAAGTCATACACGTAAGCTCATTTACGGTCCTGTTCAAAAGTTTGGGGACGATAAGATTTTTTTTGTTTTTGAAAGAGGTCTCTTGCTAACCAAGGCTACATTTATTTGATCAAAACTACATAAAAGTAATGTTGTGAAATATTATTACAATTTAAAATACATGTGCTATATTTCAGAATATTTAAAAAATGTAATTTACATCTGTAATGACAAAGCTGTATTTTCAGCAGCCACTGTATTACTGCAGTCTTCAGTCTTCATGATTGTTCAGAAATCATTCTAATATGCTGATTTGGTGCTCAAGAAACATTTCTTATTATTATCAGTGTTATTAACAATTACAGTTTTACAATAGAAAGTATATATATATATATATTCTTAATCTCTCTGTCTCTGTCTGGCAGGGTGCTGCTGAGGGTTAGAATGCTGTACTATTTGAAACAAGAGGTGATTGGAGTGCAGTGCCAAAAAGTGCTGGATGGGGCAGATGCCAGGTAAGCATTGCCATGGACCCTCTCACCTTATTACTTTCACTAGTCTGGGAAACCAACACATCTGAGGAGTGTGTTTTGCATGTATTGTACTAATAATGGCAGGAACCTCCGTGAAGTTGGCACCCCATAAAAAGAAATAATCACCAAAACTATGCCATTAGTTTGTGCTATGTTTGTGCTGATTTGTGCCGCAAAAACGAACGTTTGTGCTGGTTTGGTGTTTGAGATATTAAACATTATTTTTTTGACAGTGTGACGTCACTCTCCACCCCATGTTGCTCAAATCGCTCCAAACCAGCGCTGTTCGTTTGTACTCGATTTGTGCCCGTTTGTGCCGTTAAAACAAACACTGTACCTATTTTCCTTCCTTAAATATAACCAAAATATTTTCAGGAGCTGTTATGTCACTCTCCACCCCAGTTTGTCTAAATCGCACAAAACTGGTGTCATTCGTTTGTGCTCAATTTGTGCCGGTTTGTGCTGTTGAAATGAATGTCAAATATAATTTCCCTTCTTAGAAATAACAAAAACAATTCTGGGCAGTGACGTCATTCTCCACCCCATGCAGTCCAAATCTCTCCAAACCGGTGCCATTCGTTTGTGCTCGATTTGTGCTGGTTTGTGCCGTTCAGATTTACATTGTATCTATTTCCCGTCCTCAGAATAACAAATACAAAACTATATTTTTAAATACTAATAATTTAGTATTTTAAATTCTTTTTTTTTTTACGTGCTGGTAATATGTATTTAATTTTAAGCCATATAAAACTGATCAAAACCTAATAATATAAAGACATTCACTTCTGTATTATAGAACCCTTTTCATATTAGGATTATAAATAGGTCCTCATTGAACTCCTCTGGTATTAGTCAGTTTAAGCCAGTTTGTTTAGTAAGAGGAACATTAAAGCGCCATCTGCTGTCCTGCTGAGGAAACTTCAAGGACGTACACATATAATTTCAATACCTGTATTTAAAGGAATAGTTCACCCAAAAAAATCTAAACCTGAAATAACCTTAGACTAAGATGTATAGCATGTTTCTGCAAGCAATGGCTGAAATGTTTGTTTTGCTGTCTCGCAGTGAGATAGAGATCTGGGTTCCTGAGCCGGATCATTCAGAGATGCCTGCTCTGTGGTGGGATATGCTCTCAGACAAATGTCTACTGTTAGGAGTCTTTAAGCACGGTGAGTCCGATCAGCTCTGTTGCGCTTAAGGCTTTCTTTGTGGGTACACACTTTTATCTAATGGTTGTTTGTATGTGTTGTAGGTTATGAGAAGTACAACACTGTTCGTGCAGATCCAGCACTGTGTTTCTTAGAAAGGGTTGGGCGGCCAGACGAGAAGGCCATCGCTGCTGAACAGAGAGGAAATGACTTTATGGATGGGTAAGAGACACAAACATGTGCTCCATTCATACAGATAGAGGAAGTCTTTAATCAGTTTCTGCCTGCAGTAACTCTCTGAGGTGTTTGTAACTGTGATTGTTTGTGTGTGTGCAGAGATGTGGATGACCCCGAGTATAAGCCTGCTCCAGCTTTGCTGAAGGATGATATGGAGGTATGCAAGTGGAGAAGAGAGAACTGGGCCTGATAAGAATGTTACACACACAAGCTCAAAGAATATCAATTAGAGTGACTTCAGGGATGGGCAAATTTTAGAATTGGTTGCCTTTTCAATTCATGAGTTGGAATTTGTATTGAATAGGCCACAGCCCATACTATGTTCAATTGGAATGACACGAAGAGGAATGTAGTTTCAATAAACACAGTCACAAAGCAGAGGTGTTTATTAGTTCAACACGTTTTGTGACTAAATAGCTGCCTATTTTTTCCCTGATATGTAGAATACTTGGAATACTGTAGAATACTAGGTGTGTGTGTGTGTGTGTGAATTTAGAGTAGTTATAATCATTTATAAATCAACTACAGGAGCTTGCATTTAATTTTCAATATAAATGTATATAAAATACAAATAATGTTCCTGGAAATAACTCGTATGCTGTGGCAACATACACAATAACTCATACTAACAGTTACAAACTGTTTTTTCACTCACAACACGTTCACATTTACAACAGTTTCCTGTGTGCTACCTCAATTCAAATTTTGTTAAAATTCAAGAATTTTAAAGGGCATTGTTTGTGTTGTAATGCTGAACTATGACTTAACATGTGCTCTTACTTCTAGGACGATGCTTCTTCCCCAGGAGACCTGGTCATCACTGATACAGGCGGAGGTATTGACAAACTATAGTGTTATATGGTGTTTCTCATTGTAAATAAACCGTTTTTGAGTTGATATTAAGTTGTTGTTAGTCTTTAGCAGTGTGTTTGTGTGTTGGTGCAGAAGGAGGGTCTGTGTTAGATGGTGGTGGTGGGACTTTGGGTGCTGGATCAGGGATGTACTGGCCCTCACCCTCCACGCTGACGGCCCGACTGCGGCGTCTGATCACTGCTTCTCAGCGCTTCACCAAGAGCAAACAGATACTTCAGATCCACCAGACACAGCAGGCCATGACCCCTGCCCTCTACCCTCTGCCCCCCACGATCAGCGACACACTCAATCCCAAAATTGCTGCTAAGATTGAAAGACAACAACGGTGAGAGACTTAATGTCGGCTGTGATACACTACGCTAACTTTTGCCCTTCGATTTGAAGTGTGGAGGAGTCAATGCTAGCTACATGAAATCAGAGCCAGTCTGTAGATTTTTGGCTGTTGTAGTTGATAGATTTCATAGAAAATCTTGGTTACAGTCTCTCATTTTTTTTAGGCTTTAGGCTATGATTCCATCCAGACATGTTTGATATTTTGAGCTGATTTTAGAACACTTTATTTATTATTATTATTATTTTTTTTTCATTTTCATGTGTCTCCTAGCAATGAGTTTGTTGTTGTTTTCAGAAAAGCTTTAACGTCTGGTGGTGTGTGATCCTCAGTCGTTTAGTGTTTGATGCCCAGTTTTCTCTGTAACCATTTAAAAAGTCTGCAAGTGTGGGTTTCCTAGTGTTGTAGTGTTTTAGTAATGTAGGGTATTCCAGCTTAAATTCAAACTAAGAATGCTCAAGTATGTTTTTCTACTTTAAAAAAATAAATGAATAACACTTGACAAATGATGTACACAAACATGAGATGTGACCTAGAAAAAGCGGTTTTATTTGACATAAAATGGGCAGCTCCCCACACGATCAGTTAATAAACAGAAACGTCTTGAATCCACTACTTGGATTTAAGATGAGGAATTACTAGGTGTAGCTTTAAGAAACTTCATAAAATTAATCTTTGTATGATTGCGGTTCACTTTTTTTTGTCCAGAAGTACTTTGTGTGGGCCAGTAACTTTATGAATTGATAATTTTTCCATTTCTCAATAGGTGGACGCGGAGAGAGGAGGCGGATTTCTATCGCGTGGTTTCAACATTTGGAGTAGTGTTTGATCCAGATTTGGGCCGCTTTGACTGGACCAAGTTCAGAGCCATGGCTCGACTGCACAAGAAAACTGACGAGAGTCTACACAAGTACCTGTGTGCCTTTATTGCCATGTGCAGGAGGGTCTGCCGCCTGCCCGCTATAGAGGGAGGTCAGTGCCACAAGCATCTATCGATGCACAACATGTGCTCAACTTGGTTTTCCGTCAGTCTGCCAATACATTATCTTGTACTTATTCATCATCAGTTTTTGTCTGCTCTCCCCTCAGATATGATGGACTCCTCTCTTGCTATACAACCAATCACAGAGGAGCGTGCCTCCCGTACCTTATACAGAGTGGAATTGCTGCGAAAGATAAGAGAACAGGTGTTGCGTCATCCGCAGCTTTACGAGCATCTCGCACTGTGCCAGCTAGGACCGGATCTTCCAGTGTGGTGGGAAACAGGATCCCACGATCGGGATCTTCTGCTTGGGGCAGCCAAACATGGAGTCAGCCGAACAGACTACCATATCCTCCGTGACCCGGAGCTCTGCTTTATGGCGGCACAGAGAAACTACAGCCAGAACAAGGGAACTGCAGCACAAGTCCAAGCCCAGAATCAGGCGCCTTCACTGGGACAGTGTCACATCCCAACCCCCCTCCAGCATATTCAGGCTAAAGAGGCTTCTGATTCACCGCTCCCAAACCAAACTGAACTGAAGGAAGAGCCGCTGTCAGAGGGAGAGGAAGAGAGTGGAGAGCAAAATCCCAAGACGGAGACACCCTCTATCAGACCACCCACACCTTCAGGAGTGGATGAGAAAGATGGCATCCACAAAGTGGGAGAGAACGAGAGCCGGATGGTGGCGGCCAGAACAAAACCACTCACGCCGAACTCAGTAACTCGAAAACAGAAGAAGCTGAGTAAGCGGAGCCGCAGAGAGGCCAGGAGGGGGTCGGGATCTGACTCGGACTCAGGTGGCTCCTCATCCAGCTCTTCGTCAAGTTCTTCATCAAGATCTTCTTCCTCATCCTCGTCTTCATCACGGTCTGGATCCAGTTCCTCGTCTTCGTCTTCCTCCTGTTCTTCAGGCTCTTCGTCTTCATCATCATCATCATCCTCGTCTTCAGAAGACAGTGACAGCGGGGAGGTACCAAAAAACGGTGAGTAGTTATATACAGTGGGGAAAATAATTATTTGATCCCCTACTGATTTTGTAAGTTTGCCCACTTACAAAGAAATTAAGGGTCTATAATTTTTATGGTAGGTTTATTTTAACGGATAGAGAGAATATCAAGCAAAAAATCCAGGAAAAAAAACACTGTTCAAAGGTTATAAATTGATTTGCATTTCAGTGAGTCAAATAAGTATTTGATCCCCAAGCAAAACTTGGTGGAGAAACTCTTGTTGGCAAGCACAGAGGTAAGACGTGTCTTGTGGTTGGTCATCAGGTTTGCACACATCTCAGGAGGGATTTTGTTCCACTCCTCTTTAAATATTCTCTCTAAATCCTTAAGGTTTCTTGGCAACTCAAAGTTTCAGCTCACTCCACAGATTTTCTATAGAATTAAGGTCTGGGGACTGGCTAGGCCACTCCATGACCCCATAGTGGTGGGAGAGGTTTGAATGGAAGATACACATTCTATGGACTGGTTTCTTTTATACTCATAACAAGATGACATTAGGAGTAATTTCTTAAAGTGACAGGACTAATCTGTGTTACACTTGGGCACGTAACCAATCTGTGGGAGCCAGAATTCTTGCTGGTTGGTAGGGGATCAAATACTTATTTTACTTACTGAAATGCAAGTCAATTTATAACCTTTATATAACGTGTTTTTTCTGGATTTTTTTGTTGATATTCTGTTTCTATCCGTTAAAATAAACCTACCATAAAAATTATAGACCCTTCATTTTTTTGGAAGTGGTCAAACTTAAAAAATCAGCAGGGGCTCAAATAATTATTTTCCCCACTGTAGTAGTAAGTTGCAGTCTTTCTACAGTAACTGTAGGACTGTTTTAACACGCTAGTAAGTTAAGCATGTTTGGTTGCGTCTTTGAGTTGTGCTACATTACCATTCAGTAGTTTGGGGTCAGTACGATTTGTTATTTCTTTATAGAAATTAATACTTTTATTTGGGGCCCAGTTAAAAGTGACAGTAAAGAGATTTATAATGTTATAAAAGATTTCAGTTTCAAGTAATGCTGTTCTTTTGAATTTTCTGTTGATCAACTATTTAGAAGCACAACTGTTTTCAACAATAACTATTTGACTGATTTCTGTAGGATCATGTGACACTGAATACTGGAGTAATGGCTGCTGAAAATTCAGCTTTGCCATTACAGGAATAAATAATTACAAAAATATCCAAATAGAAAATGGTTATTTTGAGTTGTAATATACTTTTTTTTTTTACTGTATTTTTGATCAAATGAATGCAACATTGGTGAGCCCTTCTTTCAAAAACATTCAAAATCTTACCAACCCCAAACTTTTGAATGAGAGTGTATGGTGAACAGTGTACAGTATATGGTAGTGTTTTTATATATATATGACTGCATGTGTGTGCCAGTGCAAAAGTGATTTTAAGCGGTTTTCCTTGGGTAGAAGCAAGGCAGCCCCAGTAACAGCATTCAGGTGTCCATTCACTTGACTCACTAATGCATTAATTAGTTGTGAGGGTCATGAGTTTTAAAGCATGCCCAGAGACTATTTTAAGAGAGAGAAATGCTTCATTCAATATGTATATCTTCAGTGTGGTTTAACATGGGAAACAGCTTGTGTAGTGCATTCTGCAGTGTGCAGCCTATATACTGTATACTGCCTGCTATTTCTTAAAATATGTGAAGCTTTTATGTAACATGCTAAAAAGTTGTGTAGAGGAAGAGTTCTGTTGTCATCATGTCAATAGTTGTTTGATGTCCCGTCTGTCAGTCTAGTCAAATGAGTCAAGAAAGAGATTGATATTGCTTCTGTTTCATTCATCACACTGGAAATGCAAGGTCAAGTTGAGCGCAAATACAGTTTGACAAATTTTGTAAAGCGTGAAATGGATCATGTTTAAAGTGTGTTTGATCAGTATAACATTGTTACCTCTGTCTGGATTCTGGTAGCGTCAGCAGTGCCTGGTGTTAAAGGCTTTGACGAAGACAGCGTTGCCTCTCTCAACACTACACAAGATGACATGCAGGACAGTCATGTGACCAACGGTATCTCTAACCCTCCCCACCCTTTCCAGGGAGGTTATATGCTTGCTGCCTCCTACTGGCCAAAGGTGAGCAGCCCAGGCCAACATCTTGTGCCAATTCCTCTTCTCTGGTCTCACTCTATCGGTGTGGCACCTTATTTGTGGCTCTGTCACTGTAAGAACAGTATAGTTTCATTCATTAAAAATGTTATAAAGGTATAGAAAAATGTATCTGCTTTGGAACATGGTTTTTCTCTACCCCACCACAATCATAATGTTCCACCTTAAAGTACAGTACTTGCTTGTAATGTCCTTACATTAATATTGTCCACGCATTGCAGGACCGTGTCATGATAAACCGGTTGGACAGTATATGTCAGGCAGTGTTGAAGGGGAAATGGCCAGGGGTTCGTCGTGCGTACGAAGGCAATGCAGTGACTTCTTTCTATACCACCAAACTCCTGGACAACACAACCACGCTCACAGAAGACCCTTCAGCCTCCCCTCAGGGTTCAAAGGTGAAGAAGCATGTTGCAGACAGAGAAAAGGAGTTCTCAGTCAAACTCAATGACGTATGTTATTTTACGTTCTCCCCCACAAATGCCGATCTGCAGTGTCATTGCAGCGCTTGGCATGTTTTGTTTGTTTTTATTGTTTGGTCTTCCCCCTTTTCCTCCAGTATTTGTTTGTTTCTCCCTTCCTTTCATTTGATTTTGCTTTGAACATTTTGCACCTTCAGTTTAATTTTTAGTTTACATTCTCAGCGTTTTTGCTTTTTATATCTGTCTGGAGACCAACGGTATATTCCTGTGACTCTTGCTGGGATCGAATCAAATCTACTACACTGAAGTTGCAACATTCGCACATTTAAACTAAACCCAGTGCACAAAATCAGTCGTAGCCTCTGTCCTTTGCTTTAAAGGTGAAGTGTGTAATACAGGGGTGCCCAACCCTGCTCCTGGCGATCGACTGTCCTGCAAAGTTCAGCTCCAACCCTAATCAAACACACCTGAAGCAACTAATTAGGATATTCAGGATCACTTAAAAATTAAAGGCAGGTGTCTTTGATTAGAGTTGGAGCTAAACTTTGCAGGACAGTTGATCGCCAGGAGCAGGGTTGGGCACCCCTGGTGTAATATATTCATTATATTAATAATTAATTAATATGAATAATATTATATTACATTATTATACTTTATTTAAATATTTATATACTTTATTTTAATATTTTACAACATTACTGTTTTACTATATTTTTGACCAAATACATTTCTGTGTGGGTGAGCATTAGAGACATGTATACATTTCTATTTTTGATAAACAAGTAGTCCTGGTTGAAATAATTCTTATTAGCTGAGCTAATGTTGCTAATATCCGACTGGTCGGGATGCTCAAACAGATAGAGCATTATTTTGATAAAACCCTAACCCTAACTTGTGAGAATCAACCTATGAACGTATTTTTTGCATATTAAACTGAGAATGGAAAAGGTATTTGTGCACCAACAACATTACACACATCACCTTTAAGCCCTATATTTCTGTGTTACCTCAACCCACTAGAGACAATTTGCTTAAATTCTTCTCTGTATAAAACCTGATGTCATTTATGAACCTCGTATGAGTGTTTCTATTTGTAAAAACTGTTCTCAAAGTTCTTCACTGTTCTCAAACCGGCTTCATAGGGACCTGCCCTATTAGCAGTGTGTCTTTATCCTCTGTCCATTGGCCTGTGTCCTGCAGCAGGAGGGCAGCCTTAAACTGACCTTCCAGAAGCAAGGTTTGCCTCTGAAGCGCCCCCTGGAGGGTGAGGAGGGACCTCTTGCCCAGCAGCAGTACTTAGCCCGGCTACAAGAGTTACAGAACGCATCTGATACCAGCCTCGCAGACTACACCAAAACACAGAACAGCTATCCACAAGGTAATGTTCAAGCATGTATGTGACCCTGGACCACAAAACCAGTCTTAAGTTGCACGGGTGTATTTGTAGCAATAGCCAACAATACATTGTATGGGTCAAAATGATAAATTTCTCTTTTATGGCAAAAATCATTGGGATATTAAGTAAAGATCATGTTACATGAAGATTGTAACAACGTTCGTAGGTCGGGAAGAAGGAGGCGGGAACCGGCGAACATTTAGAAAACTTTAATAAAACAAACAAACACAAAATGAAAGTAAAGCGGCAGCCCCTCGCGGACGACTTCCGCACACAAAACACAAAATAAAGTCCAGGCCTGATCCTCTCTCGTCTTTCACTGTCGTCACTCCTCATTTTATCCTTCTGGAGCTCCTCCGTGGGACTCGAGACCGGTGAGTGGGTGCAGGTGTCGCTCATTATCAATTACTCCACTTGTCACAAAGATATTTTGTAAATTTCCTACCGTTGAGATATCAAAACTTAATTTTTGATTAGTAATATGCATTGCTAAGGACTTCATTTGGACAACTTTAAAGGCGATTTTCTCAGTATTTTTTTTTATATTGTATCTCGGCCAAATATTGTCCTATCCTAACAAACCATACATCAATGGAAAGATTTCAGAAAAGCTTTCAGATGATGCATAAATCTCAATTTTTAAAAAATCGACCCTTATGACTGGTTTTGTGGTCCAGGGTCACACATGTTCAACCAGATTTCTGCTTTACCCACCAACCACACCGCACTGTATGCAATATACAGTACTGGATGACACTAAAAGTGCATGTTCTTTATGTTGCTGCAGTACTGCCAGAGCAAATGCGACTGAATGGAGTTATGGACGGACAGCCTGTAATAAAGAAGAAAAGAGGACGGCGGAAGAATGTGGAGGGGATGGACCTGCTGTTCATGAACAGAAACAGGCCTCCTCTGATTGCGGAGCAGGTTTGACTTGCATACGACCTTTTTTTTTTACTTTTCATTTTATATTCAGAAATCTAAAAAGTTGGCATGCTTCAGTATCATTAAGGCGAATGCATGACCAATATTTGCAGACTCCTGCTGGCTGGAGTAGCAGTGTCGCCAGTACATCCGCTCCCCCTGGGTTGAGCACACCTCAGGGGCCCAGCACCCTTGAAACAGAAAGCTGCGTTCCCGTCATCAGTCTCAAAGATGGGACGCGACTATCCGGAGAGGACGCTCCAAAACGGAAAGATCTTGACCAGTGGCTAAAAGAGCACCCAGGCTTTGTAGCAGACGTGGGAGCCTTTATTCCGGTAAATAGCAGATTTTTTATTATTCTCTGGAATAAAAAAAAAGAAGTTATTCTTTCAGATGGCTGTCTGTAAAAATATGCATGTACGTTTCTGATCATACCTCTATTGCAGACCGCAAACAAGCTGCAGTTTCAAGATGGCAGACCAAAACAGAAGAGACATCGCTGCAGAAACCCAAACAAAATTGACATCAACAGCCTAACTGGAGAAGAGCGAGTACAGATCATCAACAGGCGAAATGCTCGCAAGGTGAGTTTGTGATGGTAATAGTTTTGTGGACAACATTTTATATTTTAAAAAGTTTTTAAAATATACTATATATATATATATAAATATAAAATGTATATTTTTTTGTGCCGGTGTCCATCAGCGAATCTGCTGACGGACACAGTGCTGCGTTGTCACGGGAACATCCCAGCTGAAGATAATGAGGAAATTACATCGCTCCCTTTGCCAGGTGCATTCCAAACGACTACATAATGGAACGCATGTGCCCTGCTCACTCCAAAGTCCCCACTCCAAAGGGATAGGGATGATCACTTCCATTTGGAATTTGCCCGTGAACTGTTCGGTACACGATACGCATACCGTTACACCCCTACATTTTACCAAAACCTTAAGGAAACCATAAAACCCCATGTATTAACTAAAATGTTATGGTTGTTTTTCCTACTTGTATAACAGATGCGTTTGTGTTTCCAGGGTTACCTTCCTGAAAGTATGTTTGACCGCATCCTCACCGGCCCCATTGTTCCTGAAGAAGTGAGCCGGCGAGGACGACGTCCCAAAAACGCTTTGGCTAAAGCAGCCACCATGGCCAGTGCCAGTGCCAACGCCGCCCTGGGACTCAACCCACTCCTAACCAACGGCCTCCTCGCCGGGCTGGACCTGCCAAGTCTTCAAGCTCTTCAGCACAACCTCCAGAGCCTCCAGTCTCTCCAACTCACCACCGGCCTCATGGGACTGCCTCACGACCCCACCAACATGGCCGCCGTGTTTCCAATGATGCTGTCTGGAATGACCGGGCTGCCGAACCTCCTCGGAATGAGTGGTATCCTTGGAAAACAGGAAGCGGCGGGTGTGGATTTGATGAGCAACGAGGACAGGAAAAAGAAGAGCGGTGGAGAGTCTACCACACCCATAGGGTCGGCTGAGACTTTGAGTCTGGATGGCAAAGCTGAAAGGACAGAGGGTCAAAGCTCCAAAGCCACCACCTCGACGGCCACCAACTCAAATCAAACAAGTGCTTCTGCTTCAGGCCACCCACTGGCCCTCAACCCCCTTCTCCTCTCTAGTATGTTCTACCCAGGGATGCTTCTTACGCCAGGCCTTAACCTGCCTGTGGCCAACCAGCCGCAAGCTGCAAACACTCAGCCAACCCCACCACTGCAACCTGCTGCCTCCGAAGCCACGGCGCAGCTGCCCGGCCTCTCAGAGGACAAAGACAGCGATGAGGGGGAGGAGCCTGACGAAAAGAAGGATACCAGTGGTCCAGAGGGCTCGGCGAAGGCGGAGTCATCCTCCTCTGAGTCCGACAGCTCCTCCGAGTCATCCGAGGATTCCGATTCCAGCGACGAAGACTGAGTCTTTATACATGTATAAATAAATATTATATATTTATATACATCTCTTAGAAATGTATACATATAAACACACATAGGAATAATCCTGCATTTACTACATCATGTTTTTTGTTTCCATGTAAATATAATAACTAAAGTGTTGTGTAATGAAGAGGAAAAAACGGAGATCCTAGAGAAACTGAAATGAGATTTCAGTGTTTGTTTAGGTACAAGGTCGTTTCGAAGAGATGTTTTGCATGTTGAAAAACAAAACAAACAAAAAAAAACTTTGTGAAATTGTATTACACCATGATGTACAATTGCAGCAGACAAGAAGCAAAAACTAAAAGGCATTATTGTTATAGCTATGTCGGGATTTAATTTTATTAAAGAGATGAGGACGCTGTTGCTCATTGCAGAGCTGTATAATTAATATATTTTGTTTTGTGAGAAAGAACACATCAACTGTTTGGGTTTCATTTGTAAATACTTGAGCAGGATCCTGAACACATAGACTTCACAGAGCATACCTACAGATCCACAGCAATAACACACAGGCAGCTTATGAATGTCACTGAAGCTGTAGAGACCCTGCGTTCGTTCATTCATTCGTTCATCCATCACAAGTTCTTGTTCCTTCATTTCTCTTGTGATTTGTGCATCTGTTTACTGGACCGGACTCTGCCTGCTGCCCAAGGTCTGTTCTTTCTTTACTTTTTCATCCTTTTCTTTCTTTCTTTTTTTTCAAATTCTCTTCATACAGCTATTTTACCCAAAGATTTGAGTTTTGTACATGGGAACATGTAATCCATCTTGCCAACATGCTGTACGGTGATATCTACAGTGAACCAGACATTCTTTTAGGGACACATTTCTCACAATGCCCCAAATCAATGTGCACGGATATGTTTGTAACAAACATAACCGTTCCATTTCAAACCACTTCCTTCACATTCATATATTCATGTTTCTTTTAGCGTTTAGACCGCACTGTGTGTGTGTGTGTGTGTGTGTGTGTGTCTTTTAGGGACACATTTCTCACAATGCCCCAAATCAATGTGCATGGATATGTTTGTAACAAACATAACCGTTCCATTTCAAACCACTTCCTTCACATTCATATATTCATGTTTCTTTTAGCGTTTAGACCGCACTGTGTGTGTGTGTGTTGTTCTGTGCATATGAACACTGTTGCCTCATTTTGCATGAAAATCTATGTGTCCAAGGTCCTGTCGGCCTCACGTTCAACCCCCTCGTGATAAACAGCAGTGCGCATATGCTCTCTTTTCCACAGACTGCTACAGTATTGTCATATTAGCTCATCACATTTGTAATCCGCGTGAGAGTATTGAGAGGAATTCAAGTATTTGCAGTAGTATTTCAGTTACTTGATCAGTGCACATGAATTGATAGTAGGGTTGTTAAATGTTACAAAGGTCAAAAATCACACGGTCCTTTAGTCTGTCAAAATGCAGATCCACATAGTCGCCTCGCTGCTGTTAGATGTAAATGACTGATCTAGAAGTGTCCTTATGCCATACTTCAGTGTCTGTCCCCTCACAATACGAGTCGTCGCAATCCAGCACCTCGGCCAACACGATGAACCTCATTGGCGTTTTGAATCAGGACGTGTATGCGATTCGTTTTCGGTTATGTGTGCTGATGTGCTTGTTGTAGACTGTTAGGCTCATTCGATTCACGCGAGTCTGCTGCGTCACGTTTGTTCATATTCAGGTTCGGCTACTGAAGTTTTCCATTTGTGATGCAAATTTCTTCGGGATGCACTGCACAATGCAACTCTTTGCCTGTCTCACTAGTGAACACAGTTATATTAATGGGTCTTTCCAAGCATGTTTGATTTCATTCATCATGGTTTCACACAGATGCCCTCTCTCTTATCTCTCTGTGTAACTTTGCCTCATTAGATGTTCTGAATGCCGTCTCCTCTCCACTGTGGCATCAGATCTTCCTCTTTCCAGATAGTTTGTGCTGAGCCATGCACTTTGAAACTGTGTACAGGTATTGCTGCTTGCCGCCTCTTCCCAAAACCGCACATGAAACCGATCTAGTTTCTCTTTTTATGGCATCCGCAGTGTTAGCATCTCATTTAACGGAGTGATGTTCTGAGAAGAATTACAGGTTTGACAGAATTGGACATTTATGTTGATTTTCCTTTTTATTTTTCATCATATGTACATTAATTCAATATTTTGGTTGTATTTCATGTTGTGTTATGAACCGCTGGACTACTGACCAGAATCAGAGCAAAACTTTGCCGTTGTGGCACAATGACATCCACCATGCAACAGCAAATGAAATAGAAATACACTACTGCAAATAAACGTTTGTTTTCAATTATGTGAATTGATTGAATTGACAGACCGACTCGTTTGTTTTCATGGCTTATTTTGTTTCATATTTTTAATATTTTGAAATTCAAGCCCCTCCTTTTTGTTTTTGGCTAAAATGTGTTTTTGGACAGTTGCAATACTTGCAAGTTGTGGCCTGTGTTGTCAATTAATGCTTCTTGTAGTGCAGGACTCATGTCTTAAAAAGTTTGTAACTTATTGAATTACTTTCTATGAAGTTCTATAGAAGAAATTGAGGTTTAATTATTTTTATTAAACATATTCTGACTCTACAGAAAAATCTTGTCTCATGTGAAATTTGTCAAATGTATTTGTTTGTTTTGAGCTGAAGCACCAGTTATTAAAATCTAAAACTGTCTAAAATCTAAAAATGTTTTTTATTAATCTGTGATGGAAAACCTGAGCTTGTTTGCGGTTGAAATTGGAAAGTATTTTAAGGTTTTGACAGTGCAGTGCACAAATGACACAACATGCAGCACAGAATGTGACGATATAATCTGTGCTTGCAGTGATGGACTAATAATGTTATATAATGATTGAGAAGTAGAGTTCTTATATAACATTAAATTCATCTTATTCAGAAATGTGACATGATCAGAAGCTTGACTAGATGTACAGTAATACTGCACTAATAATTGACAAACAATAGATATTCTTTTTTGTGACTTTGCATCAAGCAAAATAATACACATAATTACAGGGCTTGGACAAAATAAGGTTAGCTGTTATTATAAGGGCTAATATAAATTTTGTTAGCTACAGTGAAAAACTAGCATTGCAATTATTATTTATCTTTTTGTTGTCAGTATTCTCTAGGTTGAATATCATTGTAGTATACGTTTTCAAGCCATATGTGAAATGGGTGACTTGTCAGATCACGGCAGTCTGGTTACCTGCAGGAGCATCTGTAACCTCCTCAACAGCCCAATGATTTGAGTGTTTTGAGAACAACAGTCTTGGCTGCGTATTGGCTAGAATTCATCAGAGAAGAAGAATAGGGTGAAACATGAAAGTGAATGATAGAGACATTAAACACTAAGGAGGATTGCGTCCTGTTTCCACAAAAACTGATCACAAAGAACTTCACAAAGCCAACACCAATGAAAGAGCTGCAACTGATCAAATTTGAATCACTGAAACTAATGCTAAAAGTGAATAAGATGGTGTCACGATCATTAATAACCGGACAATAACCACACTCCACGAATTTAAATCTAAACTGAAAACCTATATGTTCTACCAATATTACCTGTTATAATATATATATATATGCAACTGCAACCACATGTTCTGGACTTGGAAAATGTCTTGTCCATGTATGTAGGAATGTTTTTGCTTCTGTCATTGTGCAGTGTCCTTGAGCTTGGGAAAGGCGCTATATAAATTAAACTTATTATTATTATTATAAAACATTGGATATTTAGCCAGACAAATCACCTGACTAGAACCACTATAGACCGTTTTGCAGAAAAAGAGTGAGAAGCCAGTTCCCTCCTCCAAAATCCCTAAAGCACCTGGCAGATGTTTTGATAGACAACATTCAGCTGAAGACTATTCAACAATTGTATGAGTCTCTTCTAAGAAGGTTGGAGATAGTAGTAAAGGCAAACGGTGGTAAAGCACATCTTACTAAAGAAAAATGGCTTGTTTCGCAGGTGTTCACATTATTTTGTCCAACCCCTGTATATTCCAGAATTGTGAACGTACATTAAAAGGATAAACTAGCCTTATTAGAGAAGGCCGTGATGTGTGTTGTGAGATTTAAGCATGGTGACATTTGGCTACTTCCATGTTTATGAAACATGGTAAAAAAAAAAATGAATTAGTGAACGACACTGATATCAGCACAGGAGTTTCTGTCCCTCAGGATGTTTGTAATCTGGAGAGAGATCTCTACAGCTGCAGCTCTGCCAATCCCATCAGAAGACAAACAGCCCTGCCTGATGTTACACACCTGGATTCACACGATGCTGATATGTACTCAACTATTCAGTGTGTTGTACATCAACCATGAGGGAAATCATCAAGTTGTTGATTAGGCTACACAGACAAATGAGGCATTAGACGCATTGTCTCATACTTACTCACTTGTTTCATTTTTCCTCTTCGCTGTTTTATACCAGATCAATCATATCTGACAACACAATGTAAATATATATTTATGCATACTGGTTGCATGTTGCTGAAAGAAAAAAAAAGGGCAGGAAAAAAAGCAGCATTTTCCAGATTTATCAAATACACTATCAAACATTACCAGATATAATATTTTAATAATTTTCTTTGATTTCAATATAGTAACATCAAACACATATACTATACTATACATTATTTAAAAGTTTGGGGTCTGTAAGATTTATTTTTTTTAAATAACATACCAAAATATTGCTATTTAAAATAATAGTTTCTATTTTAATATATTTTTAAAAAGTAATTTATTCCTGTGATGACAAAGCTGAATTTGCATTACTTCAGTCTTCTGCGCCACATGATTCTTCAGAAATCATTCTAATATGCTCATTTGGAGCTCAAGAAACCTTTCTTATTATTATAATCAGTGTTAACAGTTGTGCTGATTAATATTTCTGTAAAAAAAAAAGCATTATTTATTTATTTTACACACACACAAAAAAACACACGCTTAATGTTTTTTACCATTATGATAATTCAGTAAAGTATGTAAAGTCAAGAAACAGGAGAGCTGGAATTAACCTGTAATAGGCTATCTTCCAAGACCAGCAGATGCCTCTCTCTGTCTATTTACAGGTTTTTTTTTTTTTTCCAACTGCTTACACACAAACTCTTTACTTGTCACACAATTTCTGAAACCTGACACACCTGAAAACACCCGAACCACACACCAAACCTGCAAAACCATACACTAATTCTCGGCCTTTGACTCCGTTTTCAATTTGCAACACTTTTTGCAAAGCACATCACACTATTCTCTATGTAACACACAAAAATCGAACTGGAATTAATATTATGGCAAAGGTGTTTGCAAATGTTTGCTTTTGAGATGCTTCATCTTTTTGCAAGAGATGTTTTGCATTTTGCATTTTGTGTGTGCAGTTCTTGGATTTGTGTGTGAAGTTTTGAAAAAAAGAGGCAAAGTTTTGAAAAGGTGTGTAAGCAGTTGAAAAAAAACTGTAAATCTAAATATGGTTCATTGATATGTTTGATAAAAACTGAACCTTTGTGAGACCACGTACAATGAGAAATTGTAAAGTTATTAACAAAATAACTAAATATATAAATTAATGAATTAATAAAAACTTCCTACGTGTTCAGTATTGTGTTAGACTAATTGGGACATGTCACAGCACTTACATGTTGATGCCCTTTTGTTGGTTTCATTGCTTGTACTGTCCTCATTTGTCACTTTCGATTAAAACTGCTAAATGATTAAATATAAATGTC